GGTTCGTTGTTAATTGATCGTCCATCCATGAACATCATCCTCCTCTTTCCTTCTCTCCCTTGCCTCTCTCTTACTTTCTGTCTCTCCCATCCTCCTTATCCTCATCATATTCATCTTCATCCTTTTCGATATCTTCTCTCTTTCGTGATCTCTTTCTTTTCTTTCTTGACATTTTTTTAGCTTCTTTCTTTAACTAATATATCCCCTTATAAACTGTATCCTTTATTTTCATCCCTTGATTGTTACTCATTCTTAATCTAATGATATCGATCTCTCTTTCTCTCTCTCTCTCTCTCTTGGTAATAATCATCATCATCAACAATATGTAATATTATGAGGTCATTCAGGGGGAGGTAATGATACAAAATGATTCTGAGTGAGTAAGTGTGTGTATATTTATTTACTATTATTATGATACAAATGCAATATAAGTCATTCAGTTATCAACATCATCATCATACATGATTTCATCCTAATATAATATTTATACATAAACTTTTTCAACAATTCATTGAACTCATTAGCATTAGAACTAATAGTTTTGAGAGAGAAGAGAGAGAGAGAGAGAGAAAACTCGAAAACTTATGACAGAAAAAAGTTCTAAAAAAACTAATATCCCCTCTAAGGTCTTATACACTTTGACACACTTTAAATGCTACTAAATAATCATAACTATTATTAGCATGATGATAAGCATCCGGTCAACTGAGAGTATAATGATTATGAAAAAATATTGTCAATTCCATAATAATAATAAGATAACAGTAAAAAAACAAACTTTTTTTTTTAATCGTTACAATAACTTACACACTGAGCGGACGATAACAATTTAATTGGATAATATAACCATCAGCTAAATGATAAAAGAGACTCAAATTCAATGCGATTACAATTAAATTACAATTAAATTGAATACTTTAGACTTTTCTTCATACACTTTGCTTATTCAAGCCAATTTTCAAGGCTGCACAATTTATTGATTGTAATGATGATGCTAATAATATTATCACTTCCTCTTATTAAATAACAATGAAAAGTTTATGATAAAAATAAACTTTAACTTTAAGTCAACATTTTACTTGTCAATAACTTGGATAAAGTTGTTATCTGAATGGCAATTGATAGATAATAATAATAATAATAATAATGGTACAAAAACGGAGAGAGACACAAAAGGTAACGTCGAAAGTTAAAATTGTCCAAAAAACCGGCCTATTGATAATCTACTTAACTGTGAGCGTTTATCTGCCCTCAGGTCACTTCTCCCTCCCCCTCATTCAACTTGCAGAACAACTTTATGCGTAATAATGATAATAATAATAGTCTATTTCGATAGTGTCGATCCAAATCGAAGGTTACACCAGCACTAGAACTTTTCTCTTTCTCTCTGTCTCGTTCTTTCTTCTTTTCTCTTTTGAACCTTTTGATATTCTGTTTTTCCCTTCTTCAAAATGGTGGTAAGATGATAATTCTGTTCTTAGTGGTTATTATTATCATCATATTCTTATACTCTCTCTTTCTCTTTCTTTGTGCGTGTGTTTTCGTGGATGAGAAACTGTTTCCGATTTAGAACCTAACAAATATCGACAGTTCTTATTATTTATATTTCGAAAGTGAGAATATTTTCTACTCTCTTTTCTCCATCATCTTATGATGCCAAAAAAAATACGATGAAGAAAAAAACTCCAAGGGTATTTTCCTTTTTCTCTTTTTTTAACTCAATAACCATCCCCCTCGAATACACTTGAATACACATGAATAGGGATGCGGATGATTCCGTTTTCACAGCCAATACCTACTTTCTATCATCATTTGTTATTCGTTTTTGAAATTAGAAGAAAAATCTATTATATCAATAGAATCTTAGTCAACTATTCAATGAAAATCTACGCAGATCAAAAGGGTGGGGCAGGTTCTTTGGACTGATGCGTATTTTTAGCACGAACGAACCTTAAATTTGTGCTTTACAACTTGGAGAAAACTTTTCGAGTAAATTGTAAACATAGATTGAGATTCTCGCTTGACCAATACTATTTAACTCTCTTTTTTACTCTACTGACCTTTCATTGGCCTGACGATAAACAACTTTGATCTTTTTCTTCAAGAATTTCATCGACTCATTTATTCACTTCGTTGAAGTTATCGATTGATTAAAGATTCGTACAAGTTTATCGAGTTGTGGTTCTCCATATTTGCTATTGGATCGTAATTATAATAATGATGTTATTTATTTACTTTATTATCATATAACTTTTTCCAGAATTTTTCATTTCTCTCTGTATTAAATTCACACAGGAAACTGAACACAAACACACACTGAGATTGGAATTAAAATTCACAAGAACTTTATTAACTCTTCAGGGAGAATCTCTGTTATTTTCACCACGATAAATCTCTTGATAATATCAACTTAATATACTTTCACTTTGTTATTTTTTCCTTTTGTAAATTGTTTTCCTCTTTTCTTTCAACAGATCAGATTAACTTTTAATATTATATTGAATTTGAGAATGAAACTTTCAGTCTATAATCAGATTGGTTTGATTACATAATTGTAGATTTACACACCTTAGTGTCGTAATCGATATATTGACCGATTGACCTTGTGAAACTTATGAAAATTTAAAAGTTTCGAATTGTTTTTTTTCGTAAGTATTATCAAGTTCAAAGTCAAATCTCTTAACTTTGATAGCTACTGAGGGAAATAATTTTTTGGTCGATCAACAAAAGAACCAATTGATTTTAATTGTGACCGATTCTTTGACAGGTAAGAAAAGATGTCAATCAATTGAAAATTAATACTAACAATTTATTTCTCTCTCTCTCTCTCTCTCTCTTTATCATTCAATTGAATTAATTGTCAACAATTTAACTAATGGTTACAATAACTGTTGATGTTACATTCGCTATTCTCTCGATGTGACATCTTTACCAGTGATTCTTGTGTTGATATTATGTACATTTTGTTGTTGTTTTTTTCTTCAATGTATTATGTTGCCCTATTGATTTGATTGACGATTGACACTAAAGGCACTAAAAGTCAATGGTTTCTGTCATCTTTTTTTCCTCTTTTCATCCTATTTCATTCATAAACATTTTTCATCACTTCCTCCAACTCCTCCGCCTCCTCCCCGAGTCTTCATCATCACATGCACACAAAACTAATTAGAGGTTCGAACAAGAAAATGGGAATCAACGTTTACCAACTTCTCTTCGATAGATACCAATGTTGCTTTTTCCCATAGAAAAAGAAAGAGTAAGAGAGAGAGAGAGAGAGAGAGAGAGAGGTGAATGATGAGAGTGAGATATGATATCCACAGGAATCAAGATACTTGACCCCTTTAGACCGTATTCCTCACCATTATTGATTCTCTTTCACCTTGATAATGACGCTATTATGTTACTATTAATTCATTGATAGAAAAATACAAATTCTCTCTTCATTTTCGATATTCATACTTACAGAGAGATTTTTGTTCCGTTGAATAGTCTCCAGGTACAAAGCTAAATAATCGGTAGGACCTTGTTGACGAGAATGATGAAGATGTTGAATGATAATAACAATAGAAAAACACTGAAAATACTAAGAATTGAAAAGAAAAAAAGATAAATAGAGAGAAAGAGAAAAGTAAAAGATTGTTTTCTCTTTCTTTTATCCATCTTTATACCCTAAAGGCATCATCATCATCATCATCATCATCATCAACAACTGAGCAAGGACAATGTCCATTAAAGAGAAACCCTTTTCATCTCTGTAATTTTTTTCTTCCCTTTTACATTATGTGTTCTCATTCATTTCTTTATTATTACTTTTTCTCATTCCAATGAAAATTTCTATGTAAAAATAACATTCACCAATAAACTACATAAGTACAAGGGGTTAACAAGGTGGGAGGAGAAAGGTAATGGTCACTTTCAAGTCTTGACCCATTTACAACATAATACCTTTCACAGGTAAACGGGCAATCAGGTCAATTGTTGTTACCGTTTAACATTAAATATGAGACTTTAACAAAAAATACTTTCCACCCTCAGGGTAAGTTATGAATATCAAAGCTATATGGTTAGGGTTGATATTAATAACTCCCAATATGAAAGTTAAGCTAAATAATATCAATTAAATGATATTCAATTTGATTCTTTGTCCTTAATTATTAACTAGTTTTTTCTGTTTTATTTGATTGTTTCATCTAAGGTAGTGCAACTGAAAATTGACACATAAATTAAATTGTTGATAATTCGTCAACCAGAGAGTTTTAATTATTGAAATCAACATCAATGGTAGATCAGATTTTGAGGATTCTAATGACACTAAAAAAATATTAATTAAAAATAGATTTAAAATTATTAGCATTTAAATCAGTTTATCAAACTTAAATTATCAAATTCATATTGAAAATCTGGTTTTTGCTAAATTTAAATGCAAAAGTTTTTTCTTTGAAAATTTTACAATTTTTTTTATATAAAATTATAGTTCATTTTCTAATCTACAAGATGGTATGAAAAAATATTGGTTAACTTGATTAGTTTTCTAATTATTTAATTTAAAGAAACAATTAGTTAATGATAAATCCGTCGATAATGTTTCTGTTAAGTGCTTAACATTGTTTATCCCATAGAGGGAGCTATAAAAGTTAATTTATTTTCAACAATTAGTTACAAAATAGTTGATTAATTTTTTGTTAATCATAGTATTTTTTATAATTTGATGTCATTAGAATCCTCAAAATCTGATCTACCATTGATGTTGATTTCAATAATTAAAACTCTCTGGTTGACGAATTATCAACAATTTAATTTATGTGTCAATTTTCAGTTGCACTACCTTATATCATAATCTTTTGGTGTTTCAACTAATTGTAAATTATCAGTGTTGTCATTGATTAATCTGATTAGTAATTAGTATTGATTAATGTTTATATTAGGTAAACACTAAAGTTTTTTCCGAAAATCAAAGGCTGCGTTTTAATTGTAATAACTAATTTAATGATTTTTTTTCTTTAATCAAAATAATTTCCATTTGATTCTACAACTTTTCGCCACAACTCAGGTAGTTTTTCAATTCCCTTTCGATAAAAATCTTGATTTTTTGAGCCAAAAAACGAATCAAGAGCGTTTTTTACTTCCGAATTTGATTTGAATTTTTTTTCCTGAAGGAAGTTACTGAGAGAAAGAAAAAGATAATAATCTGAAGGAGCAATATCAGGGGAATAAGGAGGATGAGGTAAAATTTCCCATTTCAATTCTTTAATTTTGTCTCTGACTATTTTAGCGACATGAGGTCTCGCATTGTCGTGCAGGTAAATTACACCCTTACGATTGATCAGAGATGGAGCTTTTAAAATCAATTGATCTTGAACTTTTTGGAGCTGATCAGCATAGTGTTGAGCATTAATTGTTTTACCAACATCTAACAGTTCATAATAAATGATTCCTTGACATGACCACCATACACTTAACATTACCTTAGGCGCGTGAATTGAGGGTTTAGGGGTTGAAGTTGAAGGTTCTCCAGGTTCTAACCAAGCATGTGACCTTTTCCTATTGTCTAACATAATCCATTTTTCATCGCATGTTACAATCCGACTCAGAATACCTTCATTTTCATGTTTTGATAACAAACAAGAGCAAGTTGTTAACCTATTCAGCTTCTGAGATTCAGTAAGTTCATATGGTACCCATTTACTGAGTCGCCATTTTTTTCCTAGTTTATGTAGACACTTTCTGATTGTTTCCTTATTAACCTCGAACTCTATCGCTAACGATGAACATGTTTTCGTTGGATCCTCACTGATTACCTGATCTAAAAGTTCCAAATCAATGTCACGTGGTCTACCTGATCTGGGTTTATCTTCAAGATTAAAATCACCTGAACGGAATTTTGAATACAAATTTCTTACTGTACGATCAGTTACACAATTAGGTCCGAACACTTTACATAATTTATCAAAAACCACCGGTGCTTTGGTTCCTAGTTTAAACTCATAGAAAATGGCGACTCGAATTTTCACTTTTTCACTCAACATAGTTAACAAAAATTTACGCATTTAACTAAAATGAAACAAAATTACAAATGAACCTAATTAACAACAACTATTTGTAATTGTTTGCAAACCCCATCTCGATATCATCTTACTAATTGAATTAGTAGCCTGACAATTAGCGACCTCTCGAAAACGGAAAAACTTTAGTGTTTACCTAATAGTAATCAAATAATGATTATCAAGTTAACAATTTAATGAGATAATGAATTAGAAATGCAAAAAAAATGGACGACAATTAATGAGATTAAAACAATTAAATCCATAAAAAAAGCGATTTAAATAATTAGATGATGATCATAAATTGTTAACATTGATCATCATCATTGGTGAGGTTATTAATTAAATTATAGATTATTATTTTAATAATTGATTAAGTTAATTGTTGACCAGCATGAAGAAAAAAAGTCTAACTATCATCATCTGATCATCATCATTGTTGTTATTACAATTGATGATCATCATCAACTTATCATCTTCTCATCATCATCAACCTTTGAATACAACAATGGACATCACAATGTTAATTGTATAGTTTTAAATTGTTGGATTAATCAAACTTTTTACCCAAACAATTTGAAAGTCAACTAACTGATTCTGTTGATTGTTAACCCTTTTTCTCAGTGATAAAGTGATCATAAGTGACAATGATGATGATGATAAACAAGTCACGTGACGCGATGACAATGAAACCGTAAGTATTAATATGAAAAGAAAAGATGATGAATGATGATGATGAAAAGATGATAATAGTAATAATCATTTCCTTGATTCAGTAACAAAAAACGGAAGTAAATTCGAGAGAGAGAGAGAAAAGTATTTATTATCATTCGAGTTTGAACATTTCGAACTAGCAACTAATAAATGACCTTCATTCCCTTTTCATCAATACTTGACCATTATCCTTTTGTATCATAATAAAATCTTAAACTGACCATCAGGAAATTCAATTCAATTAATCAATAAATTGTTAATCTCAATAATTTACTAAATTGTTAATTGTAATTAAGTTTCAATTGCAATTTTTTATTGTTATATCAAATTTGTTGTTTTGTTTCATCTTGAACTTTGTTGATTTTTTTTTCAATGATAATTAATTTGAATGATGAATTAATTGATTATCATGTTGGTGTTGATCATCATTAAAATTGGAGATACACAGAGATTGAAATTAAAGTTTGATAAAAGTTTTTGGATTTTGTTTGACAGTTAATTATCAATAATTGTTTTACTTTATTGTTAATCATGTTTGGTGATAATGGCGGTGATGATGATGATGATGATGTTGTTGTTTTTTCATTGTAATGTTGATGCGAGTTAATTGTTGGTTTAATTGTTTTATTTTCTCGTCTCGAAACAGGAAGAAGGGGCAAAAAAAATGGTTAATAATTATAGTTAGATGGAGAGTAGTAGTGGTCAGTTACATTGAACTCTTGGCCAATAAGGTGAATTATGATTAGTTACATTGGAAAGGTCAGATGTTGAATGACCGGGAACCTGTACAGGTACCGAAAGTCCGGCTTGAATAATACCCGTTGACCCTGGGGGAGTTGAATTGTTTACATTATTGACTGAGGTAAATTGTCCACCGTCAAGAGATTGAAGGTTTGAGGTTGGATGAGATCCCACTGACCCTGTTGGACCTGAGGTAACAACTGACGGTGGATGTGGACCACAAGGTGAAGGTCTTGAGTAACTTCCTAAACTTCCCAATGGATCATAGGAACGGACACTTCCTGGAGGTGGAGGTAACATACAAGAGTAGGTTGATGCTGCTGCTTGTTGTTGAAGGCATGAGTTTTGTGCCATGTTTGATGCCATAGAATAGCTTGGCATTGATGTTATCGAACTAGAAGAAGAAAAAAGTCCAGAAAAAAGTTCGAAAAAAAAATCGATTAAAATTTGATGAACAAAACAAAACTTTAAGAAAGAAAAAAGTTTTTCCAATCAATAGGATTCATCCATTGGGATTCAGTTTCACAATCATGACCAACGGATTAACAATTAAATTCATCCAATCTTTTTTTCACATATTCCCAATGATAAACTTAATCTGGTGATTTGATTCCTTATCATTTTCAACCTTATATCATCTCAATATCATTTCACTCTCTCTCTCTCTCATCATCTCCCTGTAAACCTAATAATCATCAGATTAACGTTTAAATTGAATCAAATGGATTAAAAGTTATCCAAGTCTCTTAGCATTTTTTTCTCCTCAGATTATCATTGAATCTGTTTCAAGGCTTTTGTTTGAGGCTTAACTTTTTTGTTCATCATTTTTTCCCTATCCCTGTTTCCATGTTGTATTATTACATTATTATTATCATCATCTTCATCCTCATCACCATCAATCCCTATTATTAAAATTGATATTCAATTGAATCACTATTTCTCATCATCAATTGTTACCATACACAGATTATTACATTGACTTCTGTATCATTTCATTATACATCATCAAGAAGATGATCATTATTATGATGACTTTATTTTTACTCAATCAACTTAACTTGTTATCATCATAATCATCATTATCCATAAGGATCATCCTTACATGTATCTCACTCACTCACTCTCTCTCTCTCTCTCTCTCTCTCACTCTTCTCGATGCCCATAGGGATATTTAAGTGATGATTTGATTTACATGTTTTCTTGTGGCTTTCACATTGCCTTTTCCTGTGTATTATTATCAATATATATGTATTAATATTAATACAATCAAGTTAACTTGATTATCATATATTAACAATTTTCAACATAATATGTAATATGTAAATTAACCTGGAAACATGTAAAAAAAATGGCGTCTCAATGTAATATCCTTTTGTGTATTATATTGGTAAAGGTCAATTTTGGGTGAGAATTGATGTTAACTCTATGGTTATAAATAATGATGATGATGGTGATGACAGAGAAGGACAATGTTAAATTATCATACTGGACACAACAACAACAACTGACCCTTGTGTTATCCTTAAACACCAATTACACGATTTCTTTACAATGATATACATAAATTACTATTAGTTTATTATCATTGACAATATGTTAATTGTTGACTATATTTTAGATTGATATTAATAATAATGTGATGATCAAACTGTTGCTGTCCTTTTAACTGACTGGACATTGGATTTGGTCATTTGCATACCAATAGTTTCATTTCCTTTCATCGTTTTGCTTGAATTTTATGTGGAAATGGAATCAAGTTTAACAATCAATTGATTGTTAACCTGCAAGTTCATTTAATACTTTAATAGTCTACCTGTTTAAATGTCTAAACTAACTTTTAGTCTTTCATTTGATTATCAATATGTTCATTAGGTGTTGCCTCAACTTACCTGTAAGTATCTGAGACCATTGGATGAGGTATTGAGGGATAAAAGCTACTTGGGAATCCAGTGTTTATGGGTAAACGGGATGAGGCGTTAACTGCTGCCACTGCCGCTGATACAGAGGATACACCGGGTGACGGGGTGGGGTGTATGGTTGTTGTTTGATCATTTGATTTTCGTTGATCTCTTAATTTTTGTTCACGTCGGTACTTTGCTCGTCTATTTGAAAACCAAACCTGCATAATATGATCGTAGGCCTGTATAATCAGGTTAAGTGATTCTCAACTTTATTGCGATGTTATTAGAAGGTGGGAGGATGAGAGGTGGGCAATGATGAGGTGGTGGTGGGTAAGTGAAAGTACCAATTCATCTTTAAACCGGTGGAAGTGAAGGATTTTCTAATCATATCAGAAAACCATTTGAAATCATTCACTTTAAAGGGATAAACTCATTTAATCAATTTCGATTCTATTATATCTAATCATCATTTACTTTTCCTAATTTACTTAACTATCATATTAATATTTGCTTGTAACAATTTGAATTAATCAAGAGCTAATTTTGTTTCTTTCCTGGTTCATTAAGTTTATGTGTATCACAAATGGCGGAAGTGACAATCCTTTTTTATATTGATTGATTATTCAATAATATTCAAATCTAACGGTTCAAGGTGAGGTTGTAGATTGAGGGAGTGTATTAATTAGTCATAATTTTAAACAGTTCTAACAATCGGTTTGAGGGAGGTGAGGATGGTTGACATTTTTGTATTTCTGTTAATGATGATGAGGAAATTATTTCAATGGAAATTTTGATTGAGTAAAGGTTACAGGGTGGGAGAAGAAGGTACAAAAAACGATAATTACCTGTATTCGAGCTTCCGGTAAGTCTATTTTACTTGCGAGTCGTTCTCGTGAAAATATATCAGGATAATGGGTTTTCTCAAATTCTGTTACAAAGAAACGAGGAAAAGGAGAGAGTGAGAGAGAGAGAAAAAGATTCCAAGTTAAATAGAGGAAGAAAAAACGGAAGCATTGATTTAAACAGAAATACATGAAAGAGAAAGAGAGAAATCATGATGATAATGATGAGGATGAGAAGAAAGAGAAAAAGAAAGGAAATGAAAAGAAATGATATCTAATATAATTGAGATACAAGACAATTGCATCCGTGTGTGTGTGCATTGCATTCAGATAGAGAAAGAGAGTCACCAAGAGGGTATGCACACTGAATGTGATTGATACAAGTGCCTATTGATGTTATTTCTGGATAAGACAAAATAATATTAATCTGTGTAGATGACAATCAATTTTAATCTTACAATCAAACTCTGGACACGTGACTTATACCCGATAATAATATCATCATGATAACGATTATAATGCTAATATGAAGATGATAAGATGATGATAAAGGATGATAACACCTTGTAACATGCATTATAATAAAAAAAAGCATCTTTCTATAGGTATCTAACCAAAAGGAGATCTTACTCCCACTTCCCAGCGGGAGTTCAAGTTATCACTTTACCCTGAACATGTAAATACAATAACAATCATCATCTTCATCATCATCATAACAATGATGAAGATGAAAACAACAAGAGCATCGAGTATACATATACCAAGAGGAAAGAAGATGAAGAAAGAGAGAGAGAGAGAGAGAGAGAGAGAGAGAGAGAGAGAGAGAGAGAGAGAGATGAATCACTTAAGATGAAAAAACCTTAATATTGAAATGTCAAGAATAGAAACTAATCTTTAAAGCAAATTGATTCACAATTAAATACAATGTAAGGCCACTTATCGCTAAACTCACTACATTATATTTGTCCTCTTATACCTGTCATCTTTTCCAACCCCACCCCTTGTCTCTCTCTCTCTCTCTCTTCACGGTATTTGGCTTAAGATATTGATTCTATTTCATCTTCCATCCCATAGACTTTTTTTCCTCACCTTTCATTGTATTACAATTTCGTGTCTTTTTTTCGTATACAAACATTTTCCTTGTCGTTTTCTTTTTCTCTCTCACTCTCGGTTTCCTTTTTTAAAGAGGTATTGATATTTTGGATAATATTTACTTTCACTTCTTAATCTTATATCATATGGATAATATTTCCTAGTGGATTATTGAAATCATATTTTATTCTAGATAAGTTAGTATATCTTCATCTCTATGGGTATTTATTTCATATTAATATACCTTGTTGACGTTTCATGTGTTTGCGTTGTTGATATTTGATGTTGATAGTTGACTTATTATCCTACAAGGTGACTACTTGTAATGCTTTTGTTATCAAATCTACACTTAAGGATTAGTTGTAATATTAACTGTTGATTTTTCTATGGAGATTGTTGTTGGATTATTATCATTATGATTTATCATTTTATCTTTGATGAAAAAAAAAACTATTGATAATTTTTGTTTTTCTCTTACCTTTTTCGAGGGCTTCGATTTGCTCTGGTGTAAATGAGGTTCGATTCCTTTGGAGTTTCCGTTTAAGACGTAATCTGGCTTCGGTGTCTTCACTTCCTTCCGGGTGAGAGGAATCGTCAGTACCGCTTTCAGGGTCAATTGAATGTCCATCTAAATCAAATAGGGAATTATCTGATAGATACAATAGGAGTACAATTAGTTAATTGTTTGTGATTCTCTGTGTGTTGTTGAGTTTTGGTCAGTTAGAGTTTTCTTATTTTACCTTTTTTATCTTGAGATGAACCATTTTCGGGTGGTACTGATGAAGATGCTGTTGAAACTGAAGGTACACATGGCGGTCCTATGCTATTGAAAGCGGCTGCTGCACTGGGATACCAGGGAGTTGGACGCCAACCTTGACCATTAAGCATTCGTAGTTTATCATAGACTTCATTTGTTGCTTGGCTATGAGCTTGATGAAGCTCTTTCTGTGATGCTAGATTACGAAGGACTCGATTTATAGATGATACCTGAAGAGATTCAGAATTCAAAGAAATTGGAAATTAATATTATAATAATGAAGTATTTTTGATTAACATTTTGTTTGTTTTTTTTTTGTTTCGAGAAAAATTCAAACTTACACTTGGAACATTATCATTGGTACATATTCCCTCGTTCAATAATCTATCTCGAATCTCCCAGGCAAAAATCGATGGACATTCACGTTTAAATTGAGCTATTTTACCGACCACATCGGGCGTTGCCACTCGAGGTTTAGAACCACCTATGGCCTTGGGTCGGATTGAACCTGTTTCATAATAGCGACCTAAAATTTTGGACACACATCCATTAGATACTTGAAGGACTCTCGATATGTCACAAGGTCGAGCTCCTTGATGGGCTAGTTCAACTATTTTCTGACGAGTTGTGTCCGGTAAAGGTCGTCCATTAACATAAACACCACCCAGCTGATTTACTCCAGAGTGACCTATGGTCAAATTATAATCATTATTATCTTTGGAAAGTGAAATCAAAAGATAGATGATATTTGAAGGACAAGGAAAATGATTATGGAGAGGAAGAAGAGGAAAAAATCAAGAAAAAGAAACGAGAGAAAAAAAATAAAAGAAAAACAATAAAAAAAATACAATTAAATTAACAATTAACTAACACATCATAATCATCAACGATTATTATCCCAAACAATTAACACTTTAATCAAATCAAATCAAAACAGAAAAACAAAAAACTGTATTAGTCTTAACGCCATCTAACGAGTGCGAGTTTAAATTTATCCATAATAATTTGTTGTCTTTTTTTTTAATTGCAATTAAAAGTTACCAATTAATTTGATTCGATGTATTAGTTGATTGTTATTGAAGGAAATTGAAAACTAATTAACTAATTAGAACTTACCTTTATGCATTGCCGTCATCAGTCCATGACAATCGTTGACATTAATATATTTCATCTGAAGGGGAAAATTGAAAAAGCGAAAAGTTAATTAAACGAAATTAATGTTAATTGTTACAAATTATGTGCTTAATCAATTGTATAATTGTGCTTCATGTGATGAAGTATTTAGAGTTTGAAAGAAAATCAATGTGAACCTGAGAGAGAGAGAGAGAGAAAGTTTTTTTTCGAATAATTTATTGAAGAGAATTTTTTTTCACTCTCTTCGTAAGTTCCAAACTAATGATATGAGTTGAGTCGTCGTGGAGTTGAGGCTTCCAGGCCACTGAAGAACGAGAGATCGTTAATCTAATCGAACCTGACCTGGAATATGATCAGAAAAAGTAGTAACTGATTCTATCTGAAAGTGACCTAGTGCAGCCCAATGGAAGCGCTATCACAATGGGATCTTCAATCTTCCTTCATTATCTGAAGATGATGAAGATAAAAAAAAGGAGTAAAAATAGACAGAGAAATAGAAAGGAAACTAATGATGAAAAAAAGCCTATAACATGTCTCAATGATTTTCTACCTCTCCTCCATCCTCCTCTTTTCCTCTTCCTCTTCCTCCTCCTTTTCCACTTCCACCCCAACCCTCAATTCCTAATCTTCTGTCTCTTTGTATCAGATGATAATAGTTGGTACTTTTTTCTCATCATCTTATCATCTTCCCTTTTCTCTATCGGATCTTCATTCTCTTTCTTTTTGTTCCAATTTTCTCTCTCTCTCTCTCTCTCTCTCTCTCTCTCTCTCTCTCTCTCTCTCTCTCTCTCTCTCTCTCTCTCTCACTATTATATCTCTATAATATTCATTGTATCAACATGATGAGAAGAAAAAAGAAAAAAAAGTTCCATTCTTTTTTTCCATCATGAAGAAAAGTCAACAACAACAAAAATCCAGGTAAAGATGATGAAGAGAGAGAGATATAAATACCTATACCTGTTTTCTTTTCATTGTTGGTGAAAAAATTTTTTCAAAAGAAAAAAATTCTAATCGATATGCTCAGAACGTAACCATGGTAACTACAGAAAAGGTAATTTCATATTCTTACTATTAGATTTACCATTAAATCTCCTGTTATAATCATTATCAACATTATCCAATCTTATTATCAAATATTTTCCCAATGTTAACTTCTGATTACATGGTGATGATACTTAGTAATTAGATTTTCCTTTGAATAAGTAACAACAATCAAAAGAAATGCTAATGAGATTCCATAGAAAATATTATTATTCTGTTCACTTCCTGTTTTCTAATAAGTTTCAATTTCAATATTTCATATTGAATTCAAGTAAAAATAATGAGAAAATAATGTACATTGGAATTTACTTCTTGATAACTCTCCTTGTTAAATATGATCATGGATTGAGAAAGTGAAAGGTCATGAAAAGTTATCATGAAAATTCAAGTTCCTGAGATTGAAAAATTTGCTTGAACAATGAGAAAAAAACATCAAATGATTAACATAATTTAAAGTGATTACTTTCAATGATAATGGTAACTGTTTATCTAAGTAATTTTTGGCTGCCTAACAAGATAATTATTCAGATTAAATATTCAAGGAATTATCATCATCATCATCATCATCATTATGGAGGAAAGATGAAGATGATGACATGATGATAACAATTCCCGATGAGGTTGTCAACAATCAAGGAATGAATTACAATCATTCATATGTAATATTAACATTGCAGTTGAATTAAATACATGGCGTGAACATGTCACCAGAGGATAGCATGATGATCAAGATGATGATGAAGGTGAAGTCTGTCAACATGATGAAGATGACGATGGTGATGATGATGATGATGATAGAGGAAACATTAATAGACAACAAATAATCCATATCATCATTATAATCATTTCTTGATGAAAACAAGCAAAAAAAAGGACACATGAAATGAAATAAACATTTGGTTTGGTTTTCACGATTCTTAAGGGAATCAATAATAAACACAGAGGAAGATGAAGATGAAGATAAAGATGAGGATGATAAACATCATCATTATCACTTCAATGTTTCTCTCTCTCTCTCTCTGTATTTTCTCCTGTTGTTGATAATATTATCGATAACTTTTTCTTCTTCCTGTTCTGTATTAGAACCGAAAAACAAGCGACATTTTCATCGAGAGTCAAGTCGACATGTTTCCCCAAAGGTCTAATCTTTACTGGAGGATTTTCCCTCCCTCTTGGTTAACATGGTTTTCCATGCAACTTGGGTGTTTATGTGGTCTATCTAGAGGGTCCAATGGGTTCTGACCAATGTCCATCTATTAGCAGGAGAAACTTTTACACACTTAGTTTAACTAACTAATCATCAGAATCTCCCACCTTTTCACCCTCATCAAAGTAGATGTTTAATATTTGCTATCATTTTGATTTCCTCATCGCTTGACCCTTTTCATCAGTAACTCTCTCATTCATTTCAGTTTAGCATCCTCATCCTCATCCTCATCTTCATCATTGTTATTACTGTTATAATACTACAAAATCTTTTGTTTAATAATCCATTTATTGATAAACAGAAAGTGAGAGAGAGAGAGAGATGAAGGATGAAGATTTTGATTATTGTTTTGTTGATGGATTAAATTGGATAGTTAACTTGACAGCATTAAAAATCAACTGTTCATCATCCGCTTTTATCTTCATCCTTTTCTTATCATCCAAGATTCATTATCATCTCTTATCCATTCATAAGTCTTTTGATTCGTCATTATCATGATGAAAATGATGATGATGATAAAACATTTCAAGTAACAATATGATAACAATATTACATTGTCATTATCTTTATCCGGATAAAATTGCATCTTCATCAAATCATCATCATATCATTATAATTGCAATTGTAATGCTAACATCAAACAATTAAACTTGAGACAAAAAAAAATCATTTCCACAATGAGAAACAATTAACATGATGATGATCCTTTCATCATGATAGAAATTTTTTTTACTTCAAGTAATAATCATTGAGAATGAACTTTTTTTTACAACTTCCATAAAAATCATTACTACAAGTTCTGAATGAAAAAAAAGTTACTGAAATTTTAGGCTGGAAATTAAAACCATGGTGCATAAGGAGATGGGAAAAAAATGAATTTCATGATATGGAAAAATGAAGAAGACAAAGAAAGATGATGATGCAAAAGGAAGATAACATAATATAGTCTCTAAGATGGAGAAATGAAAAAAAACGACCCAAAGAACAAAAGAGATGAGAATATAAAGTGAATAGCCAAGAAACTGAACTTTTTTTCATGGAAAGATTGAAACAGAATCAGTTGAACAATTGAGCGAAAATTTTAATGGTGAAAACATCTTAGGATTCTCATTTGAATGGATGATAAAGGAAGATAGAGAGAGAGAGAGAAAAAAAATCGGTAGAAAAACAAAAAGCATTGGAAACAAAAGACAAAAGCAATTGCAAAGAGATTCCAAATGCATTGTGCCTGAGAAAAAAGATGCTCCTATTATTAGAAGAGAGAGATGGTAATGATGATGAAAAAACAGGAGGATGATGAGAGAGAAAGAGAGATGAGGATGAGGATGCAAAGAGGTGCACACAAGTTATCATTTGTGCACCAGAAAAAAGTGTAATAACATTTTCTGTTTATATTCAGGTTCCTCTTGAAAATTTAGTTTCTCTTTTTTTCCTGTTTGCTGAAAGTGAACAGAGATTTTTTTTCGTGGGGATGAATCAAGTGAGTGGATAGTGAATAGTGTAAAGAAACAATAGCAAGATGAAGGAGGAAATGATGATGATCATCATCATCCTTTATCATCTTCAAAGAAAACCTATAATTTGAACTGAGTAGACTTTAACATGGAGAAGCCATTGTCAGACAAGGAAGGATTTATATTCACTCCCTGGAATCATTATCATCATCAACAACCATAGTTGATGTTACTTGAAACTTTTTTTTTCTTATTCTTGGAATATTTTTGTTTTCAATAGGAGATGATAGAATGAAGAAAATATCATCATCATCATCTGTAAATGATAACAAAAAAGTGTATAATCTTTCACCGTGATAATATACATCATGATGAAGATGAATATAAATATTATATTTACAAGTTTCTTTCCAATGGTTTAAGAGGAAACTTTTTTTTAAATTTCATCTTTGCTGATGTTGGGGAGGAAAAGGTCATGATAATGATTAGGAAAATTGATGAAAAGGTGATGAAATGAGGAAAAGATGATTATGTGAATGAAGATTAAGATATTAATAGAAAGGAATAGATAGAGAGATGAAGAAATCGATTTGACCTTTTGTAAGAGATGCTAGAAAGCGACATTTGACCCTCTGATAAATAGTCTTTTGATATAATGTAGTTTTTTTCTTTGCCTAAGATGCTTGTGAAAGAGATGAGGATGAAGATGAAAACGAGGATAAGAGAAGTAAGAAGATGAGGATAATGTTGTTGTTGTTGTCGGTGATGATGAAGAGGATTGAAAAAGATGAAATATATATAATGATGATAAGGATGAAAAGGAAGAGAATCAAAGGCGATAAGAAAGATGATGAGGAAAAGGATGAGGATGGAAAAGTAAGACATTAATCGATATCATTTTTGTCTTACTTTCTTTTTCTTTCTAATATATTTTGTATTCAATCTAATACTCAAATAGATAAACGAAGTGGGAGAGAGAGAGAAGATCAGGTCTTTGTATCTTTTCTCTCTCTCTCTCTCTCTCTCTCTCTCTCTTCATTTCTCTTCCTTTTTGAGTAAAATGTTTTTTTCCTTTTTTCATCTTTTCCTTTCTGGTTTATTCACGGTGAAAGCATTTTCTGAATACATTGATAACATGTATTCAGTCCTTTCAGCTTGATACTATTGCGTGTATACCTCACATCTTCATCATCATCTTCATAGATTTAAGTAAATGAGTGATGTCAAACACCCATAGAGTAAATTGGCGCTTAAACAGAATCAAAGTGCTGACCTACTCTGTGGGTTTACCTCTTACCTTTAGACTAAGAGAAAGGTACCAGAGTAGAACCTCAA